CAACATGTAAAAAACAGTCTACAAAACATACAGTATATCAACAATCAAAATTGCACATTAATCTAATCACACTAAAAATCCGCGCCATCACATATAGAATCAATAGCCAATCTCATAGTCCGTAGTCCGTTCCAAGTGTCATTGCCAGATTCATGTGGCTCTCAATTAAATGCCTTCTCGAATAGCCAGGTCTTTAGGCTCCTACGAAAAGCCATGAGGGAGGGCGCCTGTCTGATGTCAACAGGGAGGGCGTTCCACAGCCGGGGGGCCACCACTGAGAAGGCCCTCTCTCTCGTCCCCGCCAGACGTGCCTGTGAGGCGGGCGGGATCGAGAGAAGGGCCTCCCCAGATGATCTCAAGGCCCTCGTGGGCTCATAGGCCGAGATGCGGTCCGAAAGGTATTTTGGGCCGGAACCGTTTAGGGCTTTGTAGGATAACACCAGCACCTTGAATTGGGCCCGGTAGCAAATCGGCAGCCAGTGGAGCTGGGACAACAAGGGCGTTGTATGCTCCCTGCGTCCCGCTCCCGTTAGTAACATGGCTGCCGCGCGCTGGACTAGCTGAAGCTTCCGGGCCGTCTTCAAGGGCAGCCCCACGTAGAAAGCGTTGCAGTAGTCAAGGCGGGATGTGACCAGAGCGTGTACCACCGTGGCCAAGTCAGACTTCCCAAGATACGGGCGCAGCTGGCGCACGAGCCGAAGCTGTGCAAATGCTCCCCTGGTCACCCCTGAAACCTGGGGATCCAGGCTCAAAGATGAATCCAGGGTCACACCCAAGCTGCGAACCTGCGCCTTCAAGGGGAGTGCGACCCCGTCCAGCAGAGGCTGTAACCCTATACCCTGTTCGGCCTTGCGACTGACCAGGAGTACCTCTGTCTTGTCTGGATTTAATTTCAGTTTGTTCGCCCTCATCCAGACCATTACAGCGGCCAGGCACCGGTTCAGGACCTCGACAGCCTCCTTAGTAGCAGGTGGAAAGGAGTGACAGAGTTGGACATCATCTGCGTACAGATGACACCGCACCCCGAAACTCCGGATGATCTCACCCAGCGGCTTCATGTAGATATTAAACAACATGGGGGACAGTATAGAACCCTGTGGAACCCCACAGGTCAACGGCTTCTTGCTTTTTTCCTGCTTCCTCCAATTTTCCTGCTTCTTGGCAGCAGTTGGATTGGATGGCCCATGAGGTCTCTTCCAACTCTATGATTCTATGATTCTTGAGTTGTGGTGCCCAAAACTGGACACAGTATTATTCCAATGAGGTCTGACCAAAACAGAATAGATTGGGACTATGAATTCCCTCCACCTTGATACTATGCTCTCATTGATCCTGCCTAGTATGTGCCTTTTTAAGCTGGTGCATCACACTGTTGACTTATGTTCAGCTTGTGGTCTGTTAAGACTCCTAGAGATACTTTTCACATTTTCTGTTTTCAAGCCAGATGCCACCTATTTTCAGGATAGGCTAAATTTCATGTGATTTACTTAGAAAATGGTTGCCATGAGAATTGCTACTGAATTTTATGTAATCTAGCTGTAAAATTTATGTAATCTAGCTGTAATCAGAGAAAAGACTTGGGGAGCGAAGAGCATTTCCTGCCCTCATTACTCCCAGCCCCCTTTCCTTTTGTGTTGTGTCAAGGAGCTGGAGGGCAGAAGCTGTCTTGTCGCTGGTCTTCAAAAAGCCACTCTGGGAGCCTTTTTGATTGACAAGCGGAGGAAAAGTGCTTTCAAATTAAATAGGATCAGGGTTGCCAATCCAGGATTGTCCTCTTCCCAGAGGTTTCTAGGCCAAAACCTGAGAGACCCAGGGACAGCCCCTGGTGATGTTATGATTATGCATTAAGTCGCAAGCACAGTTGCTCACAGCTTGTCATTCAAACACAGAGAAAGAGAGGGAGACTATTTTCCATATGGCAAAAATGGAAACTAAATGGGAAATCTTCGCTAAAGAGTCTGTTCGCAGATCAAGATGTGATGAGGAGATTCCTTCTTATCAGCCATAGCAGAGCACCTGATGAACCAACCTGGACACAGCATTTTATTTGAGAACACAGAAATGCTGGACAACTCTCACAACCACCATGTCAGACTACACAGAGAAGCCATTGAAATACACAAGCATGTGGACAATTTCAACAGAAAGGAGGAAACCATGAAAATGAACAAAATCTGGCTACCAGTATTAAAAAACTCTAAAATTACAACAGCACAACAACAGAGAGGAAACAAACAAGGACATCTAATCACCTCTCAACAAAAGTTTGCTCTAGGCATTGTCAGGCCATTATATGCTAATCAAGGTGGTCAGTTGAAACATTCACACCTAGCTCCTTTGTCTCACCCTGGTCATTCCACAGATATATAAACCCTTTTTCCTAGTTCCAACAGACCTCACTACCTCTGAGGATGCTTGCCATAGATGCAGGCGAAACGTCTGGAGAGAACGCCTCTAGACCATGGCCATATAGCCCGAAAAAACCTACAACAACCCAGATTCCTTCTTCTTTGCATGAAGAGATGCTCAGTGTTATCCCACTTGCTTCTAGCTAGAACAGGTATGGGCAAACTTGGGCCCTCCAGGTGTTTTGGACTTCAACTCCCACAATTCCTAACCGCCCCAGGCCCTTTCCTTTTCCCCCTCTATAAGTTGTTGCAACAAATCAATTAAGCCTTGGCAATTGTAGCAAGTTGCTGCTCTACTAGCTTCCCAAAACTGGACACTCCAAGCCAGACACAGATCAGGGTTCTGGGAGACCAGCGTTCAAATCCCTGCTCAGCTATGGCCAAGTCACAATCTCAGCTTCAAGGGAAAGCAATGTTAAACCACCTCTGAATAAATCTTGCCAGGAAAATCTTGTGATAGGCTTGTCTTTTCTACCTTATGGCCCTAAGGTGAACCTATTCTAGGGATTTATTGGCAAGATTTCTTCTTAAGGGGGTTGCCTTTGCATTCCTTTGATTATTAAGTTTTGTGTATTGTTGAAGGCTTTCATGGCTGGAATCACTAGGTTCTTGTGGGTTTTTTCGGGCTATAGAGCCATGTTCTAGAGGCATTTCTCCTGACGTTTCGCCTGCATCTATGGCAAGCATCCTCAGAGGTAGTGAGGTCTGTTGGAATTAGGACAATGGGTTTATATATCTGTGGAATGGCTGGGGTGGGGCAAGGAGCTCTTTATTAAAAAAAAAACTCTAAAATTACAACAGCAAAACAACAGAGAGGAAACAACCAGGCACAGATTAACACCTCCCAGCAAGAGATTTTCCCAGGCTCAGGCAGGCCTTCAAATGCTAATGAAGGTGATCAGCTGAAACATTCACACCTAACTGCAGCAGGGAAGAGCTCCTTGCCCCACTTTGACTTGTGTGAGTCAATGCAACTGTTCTCATGATTGTATATATGTCACTCTGCATTACATTGAGTAAATTTCTTGTTTTGTTTTTTTACTGATCATTTGTGTGGCATATTTTCTTTCTTTGACAAGACTGTGTGGATTGGTAAAACATGAACTATGCATGATTTTCACTCTGCCACACCACATGGTTTTATCTTAGGGCCCTTCCACACAGTCTTACAACCCAGAATATCTGATTTGAACTGGATTAACTCAGGTGAGCTACCTACCTATTATGGGAATTGCCATGAAAAAAGATACAATGTGTTGTTGAAGGCTTTTATGGCAGGAATCACTGGGTTGCTGTGAGTTTTCCAGGCTGTTTGACCATGTTCCAGATGCATTCTCTTCTGATGTTTCACCCAACAAAGGATTCCCCCAGGCAGGAATCAGCCAGCCTTTGAAGCTGCAAGGCTTTGCAATGCTAATCAAGGTGATTAATTGCAACATTCACACTTACCTCCAACAGACAAGAGTTCTTTCTCCCACCCTGAACCTTCAACAGATATATAAATCTCCCTTATCTAGTTTCCAATATACCTTACAACCTCTGAGGATGCCTGCCATAGATGTGGGCAAAATGTCAGGAGAGAATGCTTCTGAAACATGGCCATGCAGCCTGGAAAACTCACAGCAACAAAAAAAATGCAATTGGAACTTGGACAAGTTACTTTGGATTAATAACAGTCTCAGAATTCACTGGCAACCATGGCCTGGAGAAATAATGGCTGGGGGCTCCTGGGATTTGTACTCCCCTGGAATAATGTTTTCAGGCTTTGGCTGCAAGTTGGGTTGGAAAAAGCATGATGTTTTGTCAAAGGCTTTCATGGCCTGAATCACTAGGTTGTTGTGAGTTTTCCAGGCTGCATGGCCATGTTCCAGAAGCATTATCTCCTGACATTTCGCCTGTATCTATGGCAGGCATCCTCAGAGGTTGTGAGGTCTGTTGAAAACTAGGAAAAGGGGGTTTATATATCTGTGGAATGTGGGAGAATGAACTCTTGTCAGTTTGAGGTAGGTGTGAATGTTTCAATTGGCCACCTTGATTAGCATTCAATGGCCTGGCAGTTACAAGGTCTGGCTTCTTACTGCCTGGAGGAATCCTTTGTTGGGAGGTGATTAGCTGGCCCTGATTGTTTCTTGTCTGGAATTCCCCTGTTTTTGAGTGTTGTTCTTTATTTACTGTTATGATTTTAGAGTTTTAAGTGAAACATCAGGAGATAATGCTTTTGGAACATGGCCATACAGTCCGGAAAACTCACAACAACCCAAAGCATGTTGTGTTTATCATGGATGGGCAACTGAGACCCTCCAGACTTTTAGGACGGCACTTCCCAGAAATAACCAATCAACTTTGGCTCTGTTGGGTAAATCGGATAAAAGCTGTAAGGGGGAAAAGATGGGGGTGGGTAGAAAATTTCCATCCCTGGTGCGGATTATGAATATTTTAACCTGGAATAGTCGCTTAGTGGGTAGAAAGATGGGCACCAAGGGAGAACTGTGAAAAGAATAAGGATGGAGTTGCTAGGGATAATGGCTAGAGGCAGAAGTTTCAAGGTGACTGGGGGATGCTGATGTGAGATGCAGGGTTGCTAGGTGAGTTGCTATGGGAAACGGTTGCTAAGGGGCAAGGGATTGCCTGCTAGGCTAGTGATGGCTGAGCCGATACAGCAGTAGAGCATCTTTGTGGCATGGAGGGGAAGGGGAGCCTTTCTGGAGGGAGATGTCCAGCTGACAGTGTCCCTGCCCCCTTAGTGCTCTAGATGCCGACGGCTGGATAAATCCTGCAACTCATGCACCCAGATTGAAATGAATGACTAATAGAATGACGGGATCCTTAATGAGCCAATTGGTTTTTCCCTTCACCCACTGATATAATGCACTCAGTGCTGGGATGGAGGGTTTTGTTGCCCACAGTTGTGATGCAGCAACCATCTCAGGCATGCTTGTGTGTGTTTGGTGGGGTTATTTACGCAGCGAAGCCACTCCTACTGCTGATAGGAAGAAGGAGGTAGACGTCAAAAGGGAGGGGTAAATCCAGTGGTGGATGGAAGTGTGTGCAGTGGGACGAGGGGGGAGGGATCGAGGGCACCCTAATCTTTTTTGGGTTGTCTCCGGCAGCGTACGTGCATAAAAAGGAATTAGGCAAACAGCAATAGAGCAGCTGGACAGGGACCAGGATCAGGTAGAGGGACCATCGGGAGAGAAGAGGGATGCAGGATAGAAGACAAGGATCCTGAAGATGGATGGCTGGGAAAGCGGATAAACGGACAGGTTAGGTGGATCGTGGTGGGGTGGAGGACATGCAAGTCTGTTTGGGTGAAAATATAAATTGTTATCCCTGCCAACTGGGGTCGGGGAAATGTCAACAGAACAGAGCAATTAGCACTATCAGAAGACAGCACCGCAGATTATATAAATACATGCAGGGATGGTGAGAAATGAGTAGGGATATTTGTAATGGCAGGTGAATAGGGATAAATTGGGTCAGGAAAGAGATTTAGCCAAATAGGAGACACGGCAATGAAGTTGAGTTAAATTCTTGATGGCTGTGAAAGGGGCAGGAAAGGCAGGAGGCATGGGTGAAAATGACTAAGTCAATGACCCACCCACCAACAACAAAGCAGTCTGGATATGCGAATGTCTCATTTGTGCAGTAGGGAATCAAAAGAGGAAGAGAAACAAATACACAACAAGGGGATAAAAGGGCATCAGAGGAGCAGGTCAGGTTCAGGAGAATGGGAGAGCTCTGGAGAACAGCAAATAGTTCTAGGAAGCTCTAAGTCTGCCTGAAAATGCCCTGTATTATGGCTGATTGGGGTCTCCACGGCCTTCTCTCGCCACTCCTCCCTGACACTTCGTCATGGCGTCCCCGGCCGGAGCCTGCCATTGCTTTACTGGGCTCCTTGGCCCTCCTGTTTATCTGGTACTGTTACCGGGTGGGGAGTGGGCAAGCAGCACCCATATCCCACCAGCAAGGTGTGCCAACAGAGGAACGGTGCCCACGGCGTGCCCTCCGGGGTGATGCGGTCAACCAGCGCCTATATCGCAGCCTGAGAGACTATGCCAAGCGGTATTCGTGGTCAGGGATGAACCGGCTGCACAAAGGGATCCGGGACCAGGCCCATTACCAGTTGGGGGAGCGCCCGGCTATCCAGAAGCCCAGCACCTTCTACCTCCCCGACTTGCCCTCTGCCCCGTATTTCCCACGCGAATCCCAGCGCCATGATGTGGAGATCCTTGAACTCAGCTTCCCAGCCATCTTACGGGAATTTGAGGGCATCGCTTGGGACTTTGCATCTGGAGCACAGACACCACGGGGATGGACCACTAATGCCCACCCTGGTTGGCACAGCTATTACCTCTATCGTCAAGGGGAGTGTATCGCGCCGAACTGTCGCAGCTGCCCCTGGACATACCGGGCCCTCAGTGCGCTACGCACCTTCGTAAATGCCAACCGCTTTGGCAACGCTTGCTTCAGTGTCCTGCAGCCTGGAACCGTGCTACCTGGGACCTATGGGCCAACCAATACCAGGGTGCGGTGCCACTTAGGTGAGCAAATGCTGGAGGAGCAGGGCGGTGGGGAAAATGGTGGCCTTGGCTTGGCAGGGACTTCCGTGGGGCTCACAATGCCAGTCTTCCCTTAGCAGTGTTGTCCAGCTGTTGAACTTCTCTGGCTCCTCATCCAGAAATGGAGTTTTGTTGTTTATACAGAGTAAAATTAAATATACTTCTGGCATAATTGTAAAATTGCAAGGTGGAGATCAGGCATGGGCAGCTAGGGGCAACATTACACTCAGGAGAACCTGGGAGCTGCTACCTCTCTCCTTCACTGCATTTTTTAAAATATGACCCCAAATGTCCTTCAATGCTATCTAGGAAGGAGGATTTTTTGCCATGCTTTTAAGCCCTCGAGAGACCTCAATCAAAACAGGAAGTGACTAGAAGTCACTTCTGGCTTCTATCCAGTTTCAGAAAAGGTGTGTCTGAGCCAAAAAGTCTCAATAGGACAAATGTGGTGAAAATGCTTTCTAGAAGGTATTTACCCCCCAAAATAAAAATTGTAGTTTGTGGTAAAAAAAAACCAAACATTTGTAACACTTTGCCCACTTCTCATGTAGATAATTAATCAGCAAATGTGGTGAAAATGCTTTCTAGAAGGTATTTACCCCCCAAAATAAAAATTGTAGTTTGTGGTAAAAAAAAACCAAACATTTGTAACACTTTGCCCACTTCTCATGTAGATAATTAATCAGCAATTAAAAGCATGTAACATTTATGGATAATGCAATACTGTACTGTAAATCTGTGTCCATCCCATAACCCCAAAAGAATGATTGAAATATTGTATAAGTAACACATAAGCTATGACAATTTGAGACAAAGGATATGATCAAATGTAAAATTCATTGTTATATTTAGATTGGTTTTGCCTGAGATTAACTGGATTCTTTGATTGACCCAAAGGGTGCTTTAGATCAGTGTTTCTCAACTTTCCTAATGCGGCAACCCCTTAATATAGTTTCTGATGTTGTGGTGACCCCCAACCATAAATTATTTTCATTGCTACTTCATAACTGTAATTTTGCTACTGTTATGAATTGGAATGTAAATATCAGATATGCAGGATGTATTTTCATTCACTGAGCCAAATTTGGCATAAATACCTGATTTGCCCAAATTTGAATACTGGTGGGGTTGGGAGGGGGAGTTGGTTTTGTCATTTGGGAGTTGTAGTTGCTGGGGTTTATAGTTCACCTACAATCAAAGAGCATTCTGAACTCCACCAACGGACCTCCCATGACCAACAGAAAATACTGGAAGGGTTTGCTGAGTTTGGTGGGCCTTGACCTTGAGTTTTGGAGTTGTAGTTCACCTATATCTAGAGGGCATTGTGCACTCAAACAATGATGGATCTGGACCAAACTTGGCACGAATACTCAATATGCTAAAATGTGAACACTGGTGGAGTTTGGGGAAAATAGACCTTGTCATTTGGGAGTGTAGTTGCTGGGATTTATAGTTCACCTACAATCAAAGAGCATTCTGACCTCCACCAAATAAAATTGGGCCAAACTTCCCACACAGAATCCTATGACCAGCAGAAAATACTATGTTTTCTGATGGTTTTTGGCAATCCCTCTGACACCCCCTCGCAACCCCCCCATGGGTTCTGACTCTTGACGCTGCTGTAGATGAAGTAACGAACAAACTGTAATCATGTTACTTTTTATAAATAAAAGCACTGCACTGACCAAAAACTATAGGTAGCATGTGGTGTTTAGAAGAGGCATTCCCTTGGTTCTGAAGATGGGGAATGACGCTTTTAACAGGATGACACATATACTGCCTGAAAAACAAATAATGCTTTACTCTAATTTGGACTGTTCATTTTTGTTACTATAAGGCAGCAATCCTAATGCCTTTATAGCAAAGGACTTCCTTTGCCTACTAAGGGCTGGCAATTAGAACTGGCCTCAAGTAAAAGAGGAAGAGTTATCTCTTCCACAAAATTGTTGTTAGAGTGATTTCTTATTGTAAAGTACAGACAATATACCACGGATTAGTAGTGGTAGGTTGGTTAGTTAGAACTGAGCTCTTTATACCAGCATTTTATCTCAGATTTGGGGTGGTAAGGTCCTGGTGGGGAACTTTTGTTCCACCAGATGTTTTGGACCAACTCTCAGACCCTGCTCTTCCTTAAGGTCAATAGTAAGGCATTATGGAAGTCCCAAGTTTCTGAAGATCCAGCATTTCCCCGCCTCTGCTGAGAAGAACATACCAGAATCTCTCTCTCATGGCCTCTTCTTTGTTCCACTTCTAGGGCTGAAGGTCCCTTCTGGTTGTGAGCTGGTGGTGGGCGGTGAGCCACAGTGCTGGTCTGAAGGATACTGCCTTCTAGTGGATGACTCCTTCTTGCATACAACAGCCCACAATGGTAAGAAAGATCAATGACAGTACTATAGAGCACAGTTTCTCAAACTGCTCTTGGACTTCAGCTCCCATGATTCTTAACAAATGGTAAGCTGGTTGGTATTTCTGGGACCTGAAGTCCAAAACACCTGGAGGAGCACGGTTTGAAGAGCACTGCTATAGAGCATTCCACCAGGATTTAAGAAAGCTTGGTTCAAAAATACAAAAGTATATTATAGGTCATGACAAGTTCTATCAGTTCTCCACACTGTAAAATGATAGTATATATTGTAATGCATCCTTCTGTAGAGGATGGTTGTCTGTCCTTCTACTCTGCTCACCACTGGCTTCTCCTTAAAGAGGTACAGCCTCTCTAAATTTAAGAATTAGAATGGCCTATGTATACTGCTGATATGAGTTCATCATTCATTTTAACGCAGTGGTTCCCAACCAGTAGTCTGTGGACCACCAGTAGTCCACAAAAGCTAACATATGGTCCACGGCCTAACCATTATTACACCGTTGCAACGAGAGCAACCAGTCTCATGAAACCCTCTTATAGTGCTGAGGCTTATTCAATATGGTTTTCTGTGGGTGAACAGATGGTGACTACTAGATAGCATATGTTCTATATCAGAAACTAGAGCTGATGTGATTTATCCAATGCAATTTTCTGAATCAGCACCACAAATGACCAAACCGAATCTAAAGTTGACCAATAACTGATTCGTAACCCTTTTGGTACTAATGTTGGAGAGTGGTCCCTTGTCAAGAGGTCTCTGGTCTAAAACGTTGAGAACCACTGCTTAAACATATCCGGGCATCTATGGTTTGGTATTGACACAGCTGGTCCACCTACTTAGCAGCTACAAAATAAAGCATCTTGCATAACTTGATAGCTACATCAACAAAATAGTCATTTTGATCATGTTTGTTGCAGGTTCCCCCGCTGATGGTTCACGGGTGATTTTCATCGTTGATCTTTGGCATCCTAATGTGGCAGGGCCCGAGCGGCAGGCACTAGACTATATCTTTGCCCCTGGTCGGTAGGTGCCCACCTCGATCAGTTATTGTAGCCAAGAAAACACAAAATCAAACCACCACCGTATGATTACTAATGTATGCTGCTCCTCACAATCATCCAAAGCTTCCCATGTTGTTGCTGTGATATTGATAGTCCTATTTCCACCATCATGTAAACTGAGTCGGAGTTTTTCCACAGTCCTGGAAATTAAGACTACTGTATCTTGGTCAAGAATCTGCACAGAGAGGTAATATGAAAGAAGATTGGAGCGTGTTTTTCCCCCTTCAAATTGAGTCTGTAATCAAGATCTTGGTGACACAGAAAATATGACTCTTCATCCTCCAATATTTAATGAACAGTCATCTAGACAGTACCTTGTAACTTGTTTTGTTCTCTGATGGTCTTCTGGGGTTGTTCTAGTGCATGTTCTCCTGGCCGTACCGCTGGGCTACATGCAAAGACCAACAAGCCAGACAGCCTTCTTCCAAGAGTGCTGGATTACAAAAGCCATCATCCACAAATAGCACAGGGAAACTGGATTTGGGTTATAGAGTTGTAATCCAAGAGAGCATGATGCAGTGGTTGGAATGTTGGACTATGGCTTCAAAGGACAAAAGTTTGAATTCCCACTTGACTAGGGAAACCTAGAAAGTGATCCTGAGCAAGTCTCACAGTCTCTTAGTCTCAGTGGAAGGCAATTTTTTTCGTGTCAGGAGTGACTTGAGAAACTGCAAGTTGCTTCTAGTGTGAGAGAATTGGCCATCTGCAAGGACATTGCCCAGGGGACGCCTGAATGTTTTACCATCCTGTGGGAGGCTTCTCTCATGTCCCCAAGTGAGAAGCTGGAGCTGACAGACAGGAGCTAAGCCCGCTCCCCAGATCTGAACTGTCGGCCCTTCAGCCAGCAGTCCTGCTGGTACAAGGGTTTAACTCATTGCATCACTGGGGACTCCAGATGAAGGCAATGAAAACATCTGAACAAATCTTGCTAAGAAACCAGTCAGTGGTTCATTTTACATTTGCCTCAAGTCAACAACGACTTGAAAGCACATAACAACATGTCCGAAAGAAAGAATAAGAAACTCTGGAGTTCTTTGGGGTTATTTTTTTTAAAGGGATGAGTGTGTGGGGAACAGAAACCAGCAAGATACTCTTATTTCCACCTGTCTGTGATCATTTAATTCCCACACTGCATCTATATTGCAACATTTGTGCGATGGGAGTTAATCCTAAAAGGATCCCTGCCATACTCCAAAAACGTTGTACTCCAATAAAAAAAACTTTAGAGCTCTCTGCTTCTTCTTCTTCATTTGTCTCTGTTGGAACTACATGCAGTCTACAAGTTACAGACATCTAGCTTAAATTACTCATAGCTAAGAACGGGGATGAAACAACACGAAGTTAGAGAAATCTACCCCTTAGAAGCGAAATTCACTCCTGAAAAGAGTTATCATGGCAAAAAAGGCATCTCCACCGAAGCTTTCTCACCAATCCTTGTTTCCAAAACAAGCCATTTTTTAAAAAAAATCACAGGGACATAAAGTGAGGTGAAATCTTCTTAATAGGGCACGGACAGCAAAAATATGTCACAGGAGTGTTAACCGTGTGTGACTAAAACGATCAAGGGTTTGGAGAACAAGCCCTATGAGAATTGGCTTAAAGAGCTGGGCATGTTTAGCCTGCAGAAGAGAAGGCTGAGAGGAGACATGATGAGGGCCATGTATCAATATGTGATGAGAAGTCATAGGGAGGAGGGAGCAAGCTTGTTTTCTGCTGCCCTGGAGACTAGGACGCGGATAGAATCATAGCAATGACTTCACTACAGGAAAGGAGATTCCACCTGAACATTAGGAAGAACTTTCTGACTGTGAGAGCTGTTCAGCAGTGGAACTGTCTGCCCCGGAGTGTGGTGGAGGCTCCTTCTATGGAGGCTTTTAAACAGAGGCTGGATGGCCATCTGTCGGGGGTACTTTAATGTGATTTTCCTGCTTCTTGGCAGTGGGTTGGACTCAATGGCCCACGGAGTCTTCCAACTGTATGATTCCCTATACTATCCAAAACACACACACACACATATTTATCTGGAGTTACACTTTAAAATGTACCTGTTCTGACTTACATACGAAGTCAACTTAAGAACAAACCTACAGAACCTATATTGTCTGTAACTTTGGGCGTGAATAGTGTTAAAAATCCCTTTGGTCATAACAAGAAATAGAGTACATTCTTGAAGGGGAAAAATGAGTCAATTTTTTCCATTTTTGAAAAATACATCAAACTAAAATGTCACAACTCAGAAAGTTTGATGAAAACCCCATCTGAGGGAAGTCCACAAACTGCATTAGGGGACCAATAACTTCAGGGAATATGTCACTGCAGATCTCCATGTGGGTTATTAAAATAATTTGTATGATCTTGCAAGAACTGGAAGGGAGAAAGCTAGGGCAATTAGCATCACAAGCCTATGCCACCACCCAAATGCTGCTATATAAAAGTAGACAAGTACAGCTGGCTAGACTTTACATCCATATGTTCCGCCTGCATCCTTTAACTTTTATCCAAATGTTTCTCTGCATCCGATATCTTACTGGCCAACTGCAAATACGCCATGACAGCCAAAAACACACAGTCACTAGAATGCAACTTACAAACACTTACACTCTTGCATCAGCCTTTAGTGTTGTATTTAATATAGATCAGTGGTTCTCAACCCATCAGTCCTCAGGTATTTTGGCCTACAACTCCCAGAAATTCCAGCCAGTTTGCCAGCTGTTAGGATTTCTGGGAGATGAAGGCCAAAACACCTGGGGACCCAAAGGCTGAGAAAAATTGATATAGAGGTAGCACCTTTCCAGCCTTCAAAGGATCATTTACAAAAATAATTCCAAAATGTATTAAATATCACAAACAAAAAGGCACATAAGGAAACAACACAGATTTTAAAAAACACATTTTTTCCAGCTCCCATCTGTCAAAAATCTGGCATATTAAGCTTATTTCTTTCTCCTCCTGTGCATGAATGAGCTTTGTTTCTGCCCACCAGGAACACCAAACAGAGGCTGGTTTGCTTCCAAGCACACTCAGTTCCCAGGGGCAGACATATCACTGTGTGCTCTTCCTCACCTGGCACAGGAGGTGGAAGGAACAGTTTGCAATTAAAACACACGTATGTACATGCATGCACACTACTATAGCCCCATTTCTCCCACTTACTTGATCCACGGTTAACAAATTTTGACTGATACCCCACTAAGATTTATGAGCATGAATATGCTGTCCTTCTTCTTCAAAGGGATGACTATAAACTTCTGTTCACCACACAGAACAATGGCTTCAAACTACAGGAAAGTCGATTCCACCTGAACATAAGGAAGAACTTCCTAACTGTGAGAGCTGTTCAGCAGTGGAACTCTCTGCCCTGGAGTGTGGTGGAGGCTCCTTCTTTGGAGGCTTTTAAACAAAGGCTGGATGTCGGGGTGGTCTGAATGCAATTTTCCTGTTTCTTAGCAGAAAGGGGTTTGACTGGATGGCCCATGAGGTCTCTTCCAACTCTATAATTCTATAGTATTGGGCTGAATCCCTGTTCCCTTTTGGAGCTCAAGGGGAAGAGTGGGAAAGTGATCCCCCTAACATCTGTAAAAGTGCTTCTCAGCATTTCCAAAGTACAGAATTACAAGTTTTACACAATTCTTCCCTTCCCAATCCAAAGTAGCAAAGATGTACCAGAAAAATTAAAGAAATTTGCAAAAATAAACATAACAAATTTATTATGTCTCCCAAAAATCCCTAATGTGTGCCCTGTAACTTCTAGGTTTTCTCTACACACTACTAGAAGGAAAATGAACTCACAGAGTTTTATTACAACCACATAATCATATACAAACATCTTCTGCATTTAGTACAGGATCTGGATCAAAGTCCAAGGGTCTGCCCAGTCAAATGGGTCCATGCACTTACTGTCCTCTTCTTATATCTGACCCAAGGGCTCCACCTCTGCCCCATGTCAAAAGGCCTATCTTCCTCGCAGTGGTCAGTATTTGCGTTGACGCAGGAATAGACCGGGTGGCCGTTTCGGAGTGGGCACATCATCTGAGTCCAGGTCAAAGAGGTCCCGTCCAGTCTTCATAATCTGTTCCTCTAAGACTTTGTGACGTTTCATGTCCGAAAGCACTTTGTCCATGCGGGCTTCCCTCTTCTGGCTCTTAGCCAAGGTCCCTAAACATGAAACACAAATTAAAGTCTGAGAAGTTAACATGAAGTTACATGAAGAGACAGTTTACACAGTTTTTTTTTTCAAACGAAGCACGGCTATCAAGAACTAGGTATTGCCAGACGGCATATTTTTCATTTACTGTATCCTAATCTATATTTCACAGATCAATCCATGCTACAGAGATAGCCTTCAAATGGGATTCTTGTGCCCTTGAATTGCTAGTGCAGGATGAACCAGAACAAAGCCTTATGGTGGAATTAAGGCCTAACAGAACCGGGGATAAACAAGCATCTCTACAGAATACTTTGGAAAGGGTCATGAGTTCTGCATGTGCAGATATATGAGTTTGACTCAGGTAAGGAAAAACAGGCTAGGAGCACTCACTAGAGCATTAGCCAACTAAAGAGAAATGTTATGCTCGTGTTTCTATAGGAACACTGGCAGCCCAGAGCCAAAACTTAGTCTGAAAACTTAGTTTTAAAGAGAAATATAGCTAGGACAAATATAACAAAAACCTGGTTCAATGGGATAGGGTCATCTATGAGGATAAACTCTTTAGATCAGCCCCCCTCCTGTCCTTTAGAAAGAAAGTGAAGACATGGATGTGGGACCAAGCCTTTGGACAATTATTTCCCAGTGCAATAATTATCTCCCAGTGCAATAATGATTAAGGCATTTGACAACAAGAATGGATCCTGGGATATGCCTTTGGATTGTTTGATTTTAATTATTTGTTTTAAGATTGATTTGTTTTAATTATGTGGTTTTAACCTATATGTGTTTTATTCTATGTACGTATATATGGCATCCAATTGTGCCTTTGTTGTGAGCCACCCTGAGTCCTCTTTGGGGTGAGAAGGATGGGATATAAATATTGTAAATACATAAATAAATTTAGAAAGGATAGGAAAGTTGTTGGGAACAGAACTGCAGTAGATGAAAATATAAGCCTCCAAAGTAAGCTAGGATTGGGGGGGTAAATGTTCCTGGGCTACATACCAGGGGTTCTTCGGCGATCAATCAAGGAGCTCTTGGGCGAGGAAGGCTCATCATCAAAATCAAATTCTGTTGGCACGTGAGGCCTGGAGAAAACGGAGAAAACAAAAATCAAGTAGGATGATGTTCTTGCTCTTGATCAAGTCTGCTCTACCCCCATTTTGAGTTGAAATCCAGCCCAACAGCATGCACTTACTTCTCTTCCTCTTCTTCTTCCTGGTCTTCAGTCTGCCCTTCGGATTTATCCTCATCCTCACTGTCAGGTTCTGGGGTGGGGTTGCGTCTTGGCAGGATCTCTGCCTGGAGCTCTAGGGTCCCCTGCTCAGCGATGAGTTCATAGAGGCGCCGGATCTCTGAGGGGGGAGGCATCCAGTTGTCGGGGGAGTCCAGTTCCTCATCGCTGCAAGGGATGCACCAATCCTCCTCAGCAGAGTCATCGTCTGCCTTCCCCGACTGCTCTCCCTCCTCTGCTTCCCCAGGTGCTTCATCTTGTTCCTCAGAGGGAGCCTCCAGTTCTGGCGTAGGCCCATCTTCCACTGCTAAGGACTGCATGCCTGAGGTCACTTCCCCTTCTTCTACAGCACTGGGCTCCTCCATGGCTGCAAAAGAGAGAGAGAGAGGCTGACTGTGGCCCCATCTACACTGAGCATTTCATGCAGTTCGGAGCTAGCTTCAAACTGCAGTGATGTTGACGACAAACTATTTTTGTTGGTGGTGGTGCTGGAATTGAAATTAGATTGCTTCCTATAATCAATGGTCTTACAATTGAAGAAATACAATTGAAGAATTTACAGTCAGCTAGCTGTATCCAGTATGCCACTGTATATAATGAGACTTGACCATGCACACACATTGGTACCAATACTAAAAATGCATATTCAACCAGAAGAAAATTGCCGCCGTTTTTCATTCAAGTCTATTTCACAGCAGAAGGTGGAGAGAGAAGATATATTCCACTCTCTGCTTCCTGGGGAAACAACAGGATGCGGAAGTCATGACTACAGTCAGCCCTATTTATTCGCTGGACCCCTTTTGACTTGAGAACGTTTTATGTTATCCTGGGTACATGAGTATATAAAATAGGTATAAAAACCAAACCTTTTCTGGTAAGAAATCAGCATCTGCAAAGCTGATCTTTCTTTTTATGAAGTACAGCTGAAGGGTTTTCTGTGGAGTCCGCTGTAAACATTGCGCAAGAGATTCATGTAAATGCCCCAAACAACCACTAGGTGGTGTTCAAAAAATTGTTTGGGACTCCAACATAGCTTCTTAAATTGTGGGTCCCAACCTAGAAAAGAGTTCCCCTTGGCTCAATGTTTGAGTTAGGAAATGAATGCCACCCATTTGCACAAATCCAGATTATCCGGATTTGAACGGGATCATAGGAGTCCACACTGCCACATAATCTTGAAGCAGATAATCTGGATTCGGAAACTGGATTATATGGCAGTATAGATGCAGTCACAGGGCTGCCATAAATTGATTGGCAACTTGAAGGCTTTCCTTCTTTAGATTTTAGAAAAATATGTACAAGACCTGGATAACTACATCTGTGGATACTGGAAGCGAAATGTACACAAACCAAGAATTTAAAAGGGGGTTGGCAGTGCCAGAACTATCTTAAGAAAGAGATACTCATGGCTGCGCCTGTTCCTTGGGAAGTCTGACTTGGCCACGGTGGTCCACGCTCTGGTTACATCCCGAATAGACTACTGCAACGATCTCTACCTGGGGCTGCCTTTGAAAACTTCTCGGAAGCTTCAATTAGTCCAACGGTCGGCAGCCAGGATGTTAACTGGAGCAGCGTACAGGGAGAGTACTACTCCTTTGTTGCACCAGCTCCACTGGCTGCCGATTAGCTTCCGGGCACAACTCAACATGCTGGTTTTAACCTTTAAAGCCCTGAACGCTTCTGGCCCACATTACTTGTCTGAATGTATCTCCTGCTATGAACCATCACGAAGCTTAAGATCGTCAGAGGAGGAATCCCACTGGAGCATTGCAGCGCACCCAAATACCTCGGAGTCACTCTGGATCGTGCTCTTACCTACAAGAAGCATTGCCTGAACATCAAGCAAAAAGTGGGTGCCAGAAACAATATCATGCGAAAGCTCATCTCACCACACACTAAAACAGTGGATGTGGCTCTTAATGAGACATGCCGCATTATCACGGGGTATCTGCGCCCTACACCACTGGAGAAATTACACTGCTTAGCCGGTATTGCACCACCTGACATCCGCCGGGAAGTAGCAGCCAATAGTGAAAGGACCAAGGCAGTGACATCTCCAGCTCACCCTGTTTGGGTATCAGCCAGCACGTCAATGACTTAAATCAAGAAATAGTTTTCTAAGAATCTACAGAGACACTCACTGGAACACCTCAGCAAGCAAGAGTCCAAAAGTGGCAGGCTCAAACCCAGAACCTCAATCCATGGCTGATACCAAATGAGAGACTCCCCCTGGGCACACAGAAGACTGGGCGACTTGGAAGGCGCTGAACAGACTGCGCTCTGGCACCACGAGATGCAGAGCCAACCTTCAGAAATGGGCTACAAAGTGGAATCCACGACATGCGAGTGTGGAGAAGAGCAAACTACAGACCACCTGCTGCAATGCAACCTGAGCCCTGCCACATGCACAATGGAGGACCTTCTTGCAGCAACACCAGAGGCACTCCAAGTGGCCAGATACTGGTCAAAGGACATTTAATCAACTACCAAGCTTGCAAACTTTGTGTTTTCTCTGTTTGTTTGTTTTGTTCTGTTAGAAATGTAATATATTTGACTGGCTGCCCTGACATGAGAAATAAATAAGTCAGAGGAGGCCCTGCTCTCTTCGCAAACGCGGCTGGTGGGGACGAGAGACAGGGCCTTCTGTGGAACTCTCTCCCTAAGGACATCAGGTTGGACACCTCCCTCCTGTCCTTTAGAAGACAACTGAAGACCTGGTTCTGGGGCCAGGTGTTTGACTAGATGATAGTGACAATAGGAAAAAGAATTTTGGGTTTGCAACATTGTATTTCCTGGCTTGGTTTTTGGTTTTACTGGCATGCTAATACTATTGTTAAATGCACTTACTGCTTGATTTGTATAATGTTTTTAAAGTGTTTTTACTGATTTAATTGTTATTCTTATGATGTATATATTGCAAGCATCGTTGATGCCTATGTGACCCTAACCCTAACCCTGAGTCCCCCTTGTGGGGAGAAATGTATGAAATAATAATAATAATAATAATAATAAATAAAAACACAAATATTGATTCTTCATCCTAAAAGTGTAATTCCAAAGCTTAATTCTGAGCCCAATCCAGGCAACTGAAATAGACCTGCTTCAATGGAAGCCTTCAGGACATCTCTACTGGCAGCCACACTTACCTGGGAGTGAGCCACTTCACTGTGTTGTGGAAATTACTTTCCTGTCTGAATCAACCCCTGGGAAGGCTTAATTGCTTAACACAGCTGCATCCCTTCTGTCCTTTTAGGGCTTTTTTAGAAGCACTCTGCACATGATCAGAGTCTACCCTGCCATCCCAGATCCCTTGCTTCCAAACAACCAACCATCCAGCCCACAAAAGACGAGCCCCGAAACAATCGATGGCTCCTTCTCGACAAGGGAACCCAATCGAACTCAAGAGCCGACCCTCCTTCGCGATGGCGCATGCGCTAAATTTGAAACACGCACGACTCGCTACTTTCCTTCTGCGCATGCGCTATCCGTCTTGTGAAACACTCCTCCACAACATTTCGTATACAGTGCCTCTGAAGAGCCTTCGGAAGTAGTGCGCGTGCGCAGTACTTCCCTCCGTGCTCTGTCTTCACACTGCGCAGGCGTGTCGGCTAACGGCTATTTCCCGTGCCTTCCTCCCATTGGCTGGTTTTTCCTTTAGGGCGGGACTAGCGCGAATTCCAAACGATTTCCTGAATCCATTTTTGTGCAAGGAAGGAATCAGCTCAGAGTTAAAGAGGGAGCTGTGCGGCCTATCCATTGTGAGAGGACCTTCCTGCGCCATCTGTTTTGTTTGGAATCACAGGTATTTCTTCTGAGTGGGATAAAGGAGGCGGGTCGGCCTTTCTCCTGATTGGCAGTGTTGGAATTCAACCCCCACACTGCCCAAGTCTGCAGTCCTCAATGAGGAACAGTTAGTTTTAGAATAGGCTGAGGGAATCCCTTCCCCCCTGATTCCTGAATGGCAGATGGATTGTATATTTCTGTTCTCTCTCTCTCTTTCTGCTCCCATCCTGATTGGTGGTGTAGAATTGATACTCTTCAGGTTGCATGCCTTGGCTGAAGTCTTCTACATTTCATCTTTGCACTCAGACTCTCTCTACTTTGTATGTTTGGAGAGACGTAGTGTTTTGGAAATTAGAAGTTATGGAGTTCTAGATAAGTTTATTTATTTATTTACGACATTTATATGCCACCCCGCCCTTCTCACCCCGAAGGGGACTCAGAGCGGCTCACAAGATATATATATACATACAATATATTATATCATTAGCATAGTACAATACCGGTATTAAATATTACTATATTGTACTATACCATTATATTGTAATATTATTAGTAATATTACATGTAATATAAATATATAATTATAATATCATATTAATATTAGTATTGGAATATTTTTAATAATGTTATATGTAATCTATATAAATAAAAATGTAATGTTCGCTTGTGGGATTAACATAACTCAAAAACCAAAGGATGAATTGACACCAAATTTGGACACAATACACTTCTCAGGGCAATGAGTGACCATCACCCATAAAAACACTGAAAAACACAGCAGAAGGGACTTAAAAAGCCAAAAAACAAAAATACATTTCAATGCATGCACAAAACCACATATATACACAAACACACATATATACACATATACACAATTGCTTATTGTGTGTGTTTTTGTTTATTGATGTGCTGTGGGCTTGGCCTCATGTAAGCCACACTGAGTCCCTTGGGGAGATGGTAGTGGGGTACAAATAAAGTATTATTATTACACAAATATATACACACACACAAAGCACATATACACAGACTGAGCCACAGCAACGCGTGGCAGGGGACGGCTAGTAATAATAATAATAATAATAGACTCCTAGAGTTCAAAGGGACCCCCAAGAGTCATTTAGTATACATATATAATTATAATAATATATTATTAGTATTATATTGCATTACATTATATTATTAGAATAGCACAGGAGAGAAGGTGGAACTGTCTTCTGCCCCCTCTCACTTCACTGTGGCCCAGAGCAGCAGTTGGTACAAGGGCGGGGGTCCCCAACTGATGACATATGTAGGAGACAAGATGGAACTATCTCTGCCCCCCCCCCCCTTTTCACTCTGGCCCAGAGCAGCAGTTGGTGCTGGGAGGAGGAGTCCCCAGCTGATGACATATGCAGGAGACAAGGTGGAACTTGTTTAGACCTAATTCTTTCCTATCAAGAAATGTTGTTCTTATATGTAAATCAGGGGCCCTCAAACTTTTTAAAATGAAGGCCAGGTTACAGTCCCTCAAATAGTGCAAGGGCTGGATTATAATTTGAAAAAAAATGAATGAATTCCTATGCACACTGCGCATATCTTATTTGTAGTGTAAAAAAACACTTAAAACAATACAATAATTAAAATGAACAATTTTAACAAATATAAACTTATTAGTATTTCAATGGGAGGTGTGGGCCTGCTTTTGGCTGATGAGATAGGATTGTTGTTGTTGTGTGCTTTCAAGTCATTTCAGACTTAGGCCAACCCTGAGCAAGGGACAGGTAGATGACCTTGGAGGGCCATATTCGGTCCTCGGGCCTTTGTTTGAGGATCCCTGATGTAAATACACCTTTTGGGTAAAAATTGAACTCTGCATCTTTGCCTGCTAATATCAAAATAGTTTTTAGCCTCACAACATGTTCATCTTTCTGCTTGCTGTGAGCTGACTTCTCAGTTAAGTTTGTTGTTTTGGATGCTCTGTTATTTTTGGGAGAATTCCCTAACAGGTAGGCGATAAGGATCATAGAAATCGGAAGCCCATGCTGCCTTGTCGTTGGCAGGGGGCTTAACTGCTTCTATGATGTTGAGAACTGTGCTGGCGGTAGTGCAAATTACCAGTAGATTCAACCAAGCCAGAGTGGTCTCAACTGAGAAGCAGGGCTAAGTGCACCCAACCAATTTACATATAGTGAAACAAACTCTAAAGAAGTCTATACTGGCTCGGTCATCACCCAGGATAATAAGACTGACAAAATTACCATCTGTCAGCTGCAAAAGGCCACCCTGCTCGGATCTGCATGCATTATTCGCCCTATGTCAAATGATTTGGGGGGGGGGGAGCAAGGATTATGATATTTATTGGAATGTATCCAGGCTGATGTCAGTCTCCTTGCTCTTTCAAGTACTTTTGTTTTACTTCTAGGTGTTCATGACAACTCATCAGCCATTAAGACGGACTACCGTCCACCGAGACTCTGCCAATGCACCACATAGAGTACGAGTGTGTGTGCGATTGCGCCCGGCAGTGGGAACTGGACAGGGTCAAGATGCCCCATGTGTCCGTGGTGTGGACTCCCATTCCTTGGAGATCCTTAACTGGAGGAACGAGATGGAGACAATGAAATACAAGTAAGGTGGACAGAGATTTCTTGATCTGAGTCTGTCGTGTTTTGGTGGACATGGGGGAACTCGCTTTGGATTGAGACAGGTTCCATAATATTGGCATTGCCAAGATATTGGCAAAATGGTCTTACCTTCTCCCTGCTCTCATTCCCAAGAACTCCAGTGAATTGAAACCTTACCTTAAGCACTGTCATTTGTCATTTCCATCTTTCTTTTCTTGCACAAGAAGATGAGGTATGTGATGGCTGGGAAGTCTTGCAAATGCATGCAAGACTTCCCAGCTATCACATCACAAGTGTTTGCAAGACTTCCCAACCATCAGCTCAGGAAAAAGCAGCTGTAGTGCCTGAAAGCATGGTAATGACTTTTCTGGAGATCAGGTGAAAGCCATAAAGCTAGGCAACCCATTGCTCTGGAACAGGGGTTCTCAAACATTTTTAGTCATGGAGCACCTTTGAAATGTGAAGGTCAAGGGAGAATACTAAATTTCATCTCACAGGTATGTGCTGTATTTGGTAAAATGACAAAAATATTGATGAAGCATGGTAGTTTCACAATTTAAACATGCAAAACATTTAAGTTTTATCATTAAAAATATAATTTTCTCCACTGATGTCACATTACAGACAGAACTACATGCACAGTCTAGCTTCTGTGTATGTCTGGCAGTAGGACATACTGTCAGTATGGATTGTGTATCCTTGCAACATTTTGGTTCCCAGGAGCCGACTGGCGAGAGTCTACAGTTTGTGTTTCACATGGAAGGTGCTAAAAGTCCTCTACTCGATACTGTTCTACATGCCGCTCATGGGTGCAAAAAATAACTATGTTGAGATCCCCCGCATTTATTTCTAATGAACAAAAGCAGTGGTCCCAACCTTGTGTTCTCCAGTTGTTTTGGACTTCAGGTCCCCAGAAATCTCAGCCAGTTTACAAGCTGTTAGGAATTATGGGAGCTGAGGTTCAAAACACCTGGAGGACCAAAGGTTGGGATCCACTGCTCTAGAGATTAGGATTGTGGAAGATGCAGCCAAAGACCATAGGGCCTCGATGTACTATCTCTAAAGCCCCTTGATTTCCATTGAGATTTTGGAGGTTTTGTTACATTTTTTCTTCTAGCAGATTTCAAAACATAGTGTGCTTTCCTCCACAATCTCTAAAAAAACCTGAATAGTGGCTGAAAATAAGTCACAAGTTCAACCCAAAATATACTTTTCTCTCCCCCAAAGGTTTGATGCTTTTTATGGAGAATCAGCCACTCAACATGACATCTACATGGGGTCAGTTCAGCCTATCTTGCGCCATTTGCTGGAAGGGCAAAATGCCAGCATTCTGGCTTATGGCCCCACTGGAGCAGGTAAATATGAAATGCCACAGAGGTGAAACGAGCCCAAATGGGCTGGGGCTTGGAGTTGGCCATGGGGAAGGTTTTTTTTTATTGTTTTTCTTCTATCTTACCATTCTCTTTCTCCTGGGTAGGCAAGACACATACTATGTTGGGAAATCCAGACCAACCAGGAATGATACCACGTGCTCTTCGGGATGTCTTGCAGATGACAAGAGATGCCTCAGTGGATGGGAGGAAATATTCTGTTTCTATGTCCTATCTTGAGATATACCAAGAGAAGGTAAGTGATGACTGACAAACTGCATTGGAAGGACAAATTGAAGTTAATAAATTCACTGGTGGTTAGGAATATGAAAGCTTTAAGGGAGAAGGTGGCTTAGAACATGGCTGTATTTGAAATCAGTAGAACCCAAGAGCCAGACATGTGGAAATGAGTACTATCTAGCAGGTTTTAGTAATGGATACTAGTTATGGTTTTGTACTTTCCTTCATGTTTCCTCTCTTCTTGCGCCATTTGCTGGTAGCTAAGACTGGTAGCTGTTAGGGATTCCTCATCTTCAGAAGAAGAAGGGGAGCAGGAAAGTGTTCAGGAATTAGAGGGGGAATTAGAATCAGAGGATGAGGTTTTGCAAATGCCCACATTTCTGGAAAGGCTAAGGGAAACAGAGCAGAGATGCCATTCTGCTGGAATAGCTGCCAGAAACGCCAAAGTAATTGGGAACCGCCCTAGCACCTCCTGCATGGGGAATTCAGGGCTATAAATCAGAAGCAGGAGTAGTCAGCTTTTGCTGGTAACAAACAACCCTGATGCTTATGCCTTCACTCCCATCTGTACCTGCTTTGAGTCTGCGTTTGAGAAACTGCTTCTAAGGTCAATGCACGTTGTTCTTCGTCTGATGTGAGACTACTGTTTTATATGGACTTTATCAAAGACTTGAGTATTGTGTCTGCATTAAGACTTCTTTGCTTTCTTTTGCATTATACAACTGCATGTGCTGTTCTCTTATGTTATGCTGAAGTACAGCATTTTTATTTTCAACATGACGTTAAGGCTGTTCTTGAGGGGCAAAACATGACAGAAGCTTTCAGTACTGGAAAAAAATGTTAAACTAGGCTACCAGCTTTTTAAGGAGATGAGTGATTTAGTTGCTGTTCAAGGTTACCAATGCTGCCTCTTCTCTTTGGCTACAAACACCTGCAAGTTGCTAACTTCATCTGGATTGGTTCTCGACTGCAGTGACAATGAAGATAGGTGAAGTGTAGAATGTGGGGAGGAGCAGAACAGCTGCATAGATAGAGGGAGGTTGAAAAAGAGAGAGCAGGACAAGATTATGGAAGGACAAAACAGGTAGACTGGAATGGAAGGGTTGGGGGAGGGAAACTTCTGGGAACAATTGGGAAGGGCAGCTAGAGAAAGGCATGGACAACTGTAACCCTCTGTGACAAGCCAGACACTAGATTAATGGGACTACCCTGGGTAGTTCATCCAAATATTAGTGTTTGCTTTGACTACAGGTGTGGAAGTCAAGATCACTTTGGTGCAATTGGTAGTGGCCAACTGTGACATGAGGGGTTACAGTGATAATAGTTATTGGCTGTCTGCTTGTTAGCTTTTGAAGCTCTTTTTGGCCTACATCTTCAGCCTTAGCCAATATAGACTGAGGTGAATAGCAGTTCAAAATGTATATGGGCAGGATACTTTTGGTAATTTCCGATGAGGAGGAAGGCCTAAGTAGGAGACAGAATTAACTAACAGAAAGTAGCAGGCCCCCCAGGGGATGAATGCTGCTATCTTGAGGGAAGGCAAGAAAGTAATCTTGAATTCACTTGGGAATATAATGCATAGAAAACCAAAAACAGCTTGAAAAAAGACCTGCAGGCCTATGCATGGATAGTATGTCTTCCCATACTGCCTTTGAGAAAGGCCTTTGCTGGCAGGCAGTAGCTTTTGTCAGAGAAGAAATTGATACCCATTATTCTAATCCAAGAAAGCCAGCTATAATCTTTGTGCATTGCTGAGAAGCAAAAAGATACAAAGACTGAAGCTTTTAGGCATCCTTTAAGTCAATGAAGATTTGTAATCCCACAGGTTTTGGATCTCCTTCAGCCATCCCTTCAAGACTTGCCAATTCGGGAGGATCGCAACCACCACATCTTGGTGCCGGGCTTGACCCAGCGAGAGATCACAAGTTTTGCTGACTTTGAGAGTCACTTCTTGCCCGCCAGCTGCAATCGGACAGTGGCGTCCACACAGCTGAATCAACGCTCCAGTCGGAGTCATGCTGTGTTGCTGGTGCGAGTGAGCAGAACAGAAGGCTGGCCGCCATCTGCACATCGGGCCGCCAAACTTTGCCTCATTGACTTGGCTGGCTCAGAGGACAACCGTCGGACTGGCAACAAAGGCCTGCGCCTGAAGGAGAGTGGTGCTATCAACACCTCACTTTTTGTCCTCAGCAAGGTGGTTGATGCCCTCAACCAGGGCTTGCCCCGAATACCCTACAGAGACAGCAAACTTACCCGTCTTCTTCAGGTAGTTGGGAGAGGATGTTGCTTCCCCAAAGGGTTATGGGTTTATTGATAACTGGGGTTGATGGATATTTTCTTCCTCCTGAGTATCTTTCATCTTCCATCCAGGATTCTCTAGGTGGTAGCGCTCACAGCGTGATTATTGCAAACATTGCACCTGAGAAGAAGTATTATTTTGACACACTCACAAGCCTCAATTTTGCTGCCAAGTCCAAGCAGATTATGAACAAACCTTTCACACAAGAAACACTGCCTGAGATTGGTAAGGGAAATGCTGGGCTGGAGTTGGCTTGCACTGATGCAGTTTATGAGTTCATATGGAACCTGAATATGACAAGTTGTAGAAAAGAAGATGTAGGGGAAGGAGATAGATCTAAAAATACACCTGAACCTTTTTTTGATTTACCTATTTACCATGGAGTAATATACATTTTGAGGTAATTGCAACTTTAAAAGGGTGAATGTTTTAAAGGAATAGTTATAAATTTCATTCTTGGAGAAGGGCCAGATTGTAAGCCACTCTGAATCCCCTTCAGGGTGAGAGAGGGCGGGGTATAAATATAGTAAATAAATATAAATTCAGTAAGTAAAATTCTGTCATCGCTTTCTCCCATTATATATAAAGAATGGTCTTTATTGAATATATCAACTTGAAATGATGTTGATGTGAAGTGGCATTGTGATTTTTATTGCCTATACTTTCATGATGCAAATTCTTTTCTAGTTAATTTACAAAATTGTTCCAAAAGTGTAATAAAATCAAATTAATATCAAAATACTATAAGCCACTGGAGCAGTCAGTGGTGGGAGAGTGGGAAAGGGAAGTCAAACTGGAGAAGATCTTATGTCAAGGCAGGAACTAGATTGATGTGGGTACCATGAGTACTGTATATACTTGAGTATAAACAGAGTTTTTCAGCCCTTTTTAGGCTGAAAAAGCCCCCATGGGCTTATACTCGAGTGAAAGTTATTTATTTTTCTCTGTTATTATTATTTTATTACATTTATTAGTCTATTCTTTATTATTATTATTACATTTACATTATTTTACTCTTATTATTTTTTACATTTATTATTTTACTCTATTATTACATTAACATTATTTACACTATTATTATTTTTATTGCTTTATTCTACTTACTAGTATTATTACATTTATTATTTTACCCTATTAGTACTGTTAGTATTACCTTTCCATTATTTTACTCTATTATTATTTTATTACATTATTATTTTGCTCTCTTTATTATTATTGGAAGGATGCATAAGCACATTTACATTGAAGAAGGTTAGAATAATGGCTCAATCAGAGTTGGATAATCTTATCTTCAATGTAAATGTTCAAAAACATTTAACCTACTGATGCCTCAATTAATGTAATTTTATAGGTATCTTTTTTAAAAAAATTACCAGTAGCTGCTGCATTTCCTACTCTAGACTTAAACTCGAGTCAATACTTTTTCCCAGTTTTTTGTGGCTAAATCAGGTGGCTCGGCTTATACTCGGGTGTATACGGTAGTTTATTCAAGTATCAGCTATGGTGACATTAGGTCTCATCTGTATATTTAGGAAGTTGAAATGTGTCTAATAAATTGAAATGTCCTCTATCTCAGAAGTTTCCAAGAGACCTTATGAAGGTACCAGCAATGGTGGTCCCAAGGCAAAGAGACTTTGCATAGAGGAGGAACAACCAGACGCGATTGTGGAGAAGCCACTCAGGTGAGGCTTTAAGGAGTTTACTGATTTTGATGTAAGGTCTGGCAAGGGCTGGGTTTTTAGCCAAGGAACAACGGCTCTGCTTTGTAGCTCTGGAACCTGGTAATAGCCTCTGTTGTTTCTCTTCACTAGTTCTCTGCTGCCCCTAAAGGACCTGGAGCCATCTGTGGTTGAAAGGCTGCTACGAATAGAGGCCTTGGAAAAAAAGAGCGCTGGAGCTGGAAGTCGTGGGGCTCCCCTCATCAACACACCACGCAAGGAGCGCATTACTCTTTTGAAACAGTTGGATGAGACTATGCGTGAGCTGAAGGTGACAGGCTTTGTGCTCCCCTTTTCTTCTTTCTGAAGGAGAAGTTAGTAACTTTTGGTCCTCCAGATGATTTCAGGTGACAGTTCCCCTTCCTAGCTAGCATAGAGGATGGGGAACACGATGGAAATTGCTTGTAGTATCACATCTGGAGGCCAAAGGCCTAGTTCTTCATTAGTGGAGCCCAGGTCATTTTATCGTCTCTAATTAGGTGGCTTGCAAAATTTTCAAAGCTAATTGTTTTTCCTGTCCCTTAACCCATGAAATGGAGTAAGAAGCACCTATTGTTTTAGCAAAGATCACTTTCCTTCCCTTGTCAACATTTTTTTTTCTATATCAGGAGCAACTTGAGAAACTGCAAGTTGCTTCTGGTGTGTGAGAATTGACTGTCTGCAAGGACGTTGTCCAGGGGACGCCCACATGTGATGTTTTACCATACTTGTGGGAGGTTTCTCTCATGTCCTCACATGGGGAGCTGGAGCTGACAGAGGGAGCTCATCCGCGCTCTCCCCGGATTTGAACCTCCGACCTGTTGGTCTTCAGTCCTGCCAGCACAAGGGTTTATCCCATTGCGCCACCGGGGGCTCCTCCTTGTCAACATGAATATGCTATAATGGAGCCAGGTATTGTGTAGGCTGGGCAGAAAGCCAGTGTTTGGCTTTCTGTGGGTTTTTTTTAATTTTCAAGTTGCAACAATGGGAAATCGGGAGCTAGAGTAGCTGTTAGTCCAATAGAAAGCATGTCATATCTTTCTGGCTTTAAATAAACTTTCCTTGAGCAGTGAGAAACCCACTCAAAACAACCCACCCTCCACTAGCAGCCTGGAACCCTATGCTACTTCCAAATGTTTTTGTTTTCCTCTGCAGTCCCTCTGATAATGATACAAGGTTCCATGACAGGTTCCTCTCATGAGAGATTTATTGGGGCGGGGGGAGTCTTTGAATTCTAGATATTATTTTGATTCAGGCATTCCTTAAAGCCTGGATTTTATTTTAAGGGTCCTCCAGGATGGAAAAAAAGTGAGAGGCTGTTTGTAATATGTTTGTTGGGCTCACAGCCCTGATGTTGCATTTCATGTTTCTGGTGGTAAGCAATTGGAGCTTCCACCCCATAATCATTGAAAGTGTCCTGCAGTTTTCTGATGGCCTCCCTTTTCTGCAGATTCTACAAGCAAAACATCAGGAACTGCAAGCCGTGGCCCAGCAGAAAAAAGCTCTTGCCCCTCAACTGCCTGCCAGGCCCAGGAAACAGGCAACCGTGTTGCCTCTCCAGAAAGGTGAGGGGACACCAGTGGGGGTTTTTTGGGGTGGGGGTGGGGTGATATGAAAGTGAGGACTCTGTTTTTTGTCCTCTTTTTGTTTGCACCTTGAAAAGTCCTCACTCCCTTTCTTTCCTCCCCAGTGGAGGCAGCTGAGCAAACTCAAAAGGTGGAGGCTGAAGAAGAGGAAAGCCTTACCCTCATAACGCAGAAGAAGAACAATCGAAAGAGGAAGGTATGGAAGGGGGTTTGGGGTCTGCCTTAGAGAAGAAGCTCAGTAGATGACAGCAGCAGCAGAAGTTGAACACTGTTTTTGTCACACTTTTCTTCCACTCTTTCATTTATTTATTTCCTATATTTATACCCTGCCCTTCTCCCCCCGAAGGGGGACGGACTCAAGGCGGCCTAACAAAAGCATCATACGATGCTAGCATCATAAAAACAACCACAGTACAATCAAAATATTAAAACAACAATTAAAACAATTAATTACAACCGCTTTCCAATTTGGTTTGTGTTGGAATTCAACCCCACACTGCCTAAGTCTCAAGTCCTCAATGAGGAACAGTTTACTTAATTTAGTACAGACTAAGGGTTTCCCATCCCCATGTCTCCTGAATGACAATTGGGAATGTATCTTTTTCTTCTCTCTTTCCGCTCTTATTATGAATGGTTGCTTAAAATGGATACTTTTCTACTGCACGCTTTTTGAATCTGACTTCCATCTTCTTACATTTCAGTATGAAGAGTATGTGTTGTGTGCATTGAGATCTCGCTCTGCTTGTCTGTCAGGAGGGATGTATTGATTGAGTTTTTCCCTCTCTCTTGAAACCTTAGTAGAGATTGGTGCTAAGAGTAGCTCAGACCCAGTTCTTGATTATTAAGAAATGCAGCTAGTTCTTTATTATTATAAATAAACCCTTTGTGATTTTTTAAGATTGGATTCGACATGTTTGCCTCCTAAGCTCTACATTCTTTACAGCCACATCACGCTTTGCTCGCCAATGAGCTGATGTTCAACTTTTGTATTCCATTTGTTTTTGGATGCTCTGCTGTATATTTTAGGGTAGTTTTCTCTAACAGTTTGAATGTCCCAAGTGTTGTTGTATTCCAGTTCTTATTTATGTATTTATTTACGTCATTTTTATCGTACCCTTTTCAGCCCGAAGGCAACTCTGGGCGGCATACAGAATGGCAACTATTAGATGCCCCATATACATACATATATCAGTTAAAAGCAATAAAATACATAGTAAAATCTATATAAAACAATAGAAGCTATAAAATCTATAAAAATCTATAGAAAAACAATGTCTTTCAGTCCAGTTCCTCGTCTGTTTACATTCATCTTAGCCATTCCAAGTTCATATTACAATCATTGTTCTTGACCATTGACCATGCCATCTGAGACTGATGGGAGAAGAACTCTAACAACATATGCAAAGCTTCAGGCTTTTACATTTAATTTATATACGGTCTACCTTCCAATTACAGAACCAAAGGTAGCTCACAATACAAATTAGATGGTGTGAAAGTTTTTAAAAAACACCCAAAACACTTGAACAGGGAATTGTTTAGAAGCTTGAAAGGGCGATTAAAACAGCATAATGCAATTAACCCAAAATAAAAGACTCTCTGAAGCAGGTCATTGCAAATCAGTGGAGATATTGCCCCCTAAAACTCCTTCACCTGTGTATGTCTCTTCATGCAAAATTATGCACATAAACCATGAGCATAACTGGTGGCACTCAATTGTTTACTTTAGTCTAACACATAAAATCTATGATTGTTAAGAGGTGTTTTCAATAAAAGGATATGGATGAAACAGGAGAGGGGCTAATCATAAATAGCCTAAAGATGCCAGCTTACGATTTTTCCTTTTGCTTTTGATGTCTGTTCTTCAGGCTTTGGGTTTCGACTCTGAAAATGAGGCTCCCCCTGAATGGGAGATGAAGGTACGCCCTGACCTTCTGGCTCATGGCAAAAAAAACATCTTGGACCTTCTGAATAAAGGCTCTGAAAAGGATCTCATGAGCCTACATTACATCGGCAAGAAGAAAGCTCAGCTCATTATAAGCTGGAGAGAAATCTATGGATCATTTGAGAAGGTCGGTGAATTCTGAAGACACAGTTGCTCACAGAGAGAATAAACCAAAGACTGGTATCCCTGAGCTTATTGTACATTGTCAGTAAAGAGGAAGTTCCGTTCATTAAGGTCTGGTTGGTGGGGAACTGGTCTTAAATGAATCTTTCTTCAGCATGTAAACTCAATAGACTCACACCTGAAGTACAGGGCACCAGCTGATTGTTGGGTTAGTGACAATAAAGGAAGAGCCAGTCATTCTTTTAAAAACATAACGAGCTAAATCTGAAGAATAAATAATACATTTATTTATTTATTTAGCGTATTTGTATTCCATTCTTGTCAATCCGCATAGGGGGAATCAGGGCAGCTTACAATTTGCAGTCATTAGATGCCAACAAAGAAGCAGAGCACAACATGAACAGGTCAACAATAATAAAAATACATTTAAAAAGCAATAAAAATACATTAAAAATATTGGCCCTTAAAATAATTAACACAACAAAGTCTGAGTCTGCAGAAAGACTGTATGACTCCCAGAATCTCTCAGCTAGCGTGGATATTAGTGGATTTTGGAAATTAGAATATAAAAAGGATAGCAGTTTAAAACTGGATCAAAGCAAAAGCTCACTTGGTCCATCATCCTATGTTGGATGCCAAGTCAGGTGCTTTTTGGAAACTGTCAGGTATGTTATGAAAGCAGAAAGCCTCAATTACTGCCTTCCATTAACTATGGGCCCTTCCACACAGCCCTATATCCCAGAATATCAAAGCAGAAAATCCCACAATATCTGCTTTGCACTGGGTTATCTGAGTCCACACTGTCATATATTCCAATTCAAAGCAGATAATTTGGGATTTTATTCAGCAGTGTGAAAGGGGCCTGTGTTTTCAAACTCTGGGATTTCCTTCCACAAATGTAGCAGTGTTTACAAACTTGGCTATGATATCTATCTTAATAGTTTGTCAACTATCAAAGACAGCACGTGTCTGAGTAATAATCTTTAAAGATACAAGCAGGAGAGAGTTCTTGTCCTCTTGTCATCTTCCCCATAAGCAACTAGTTGGCCAGTGTGGGATGAGAATGCTGGGCCAGAGAGACCTGTGTTTTGAGCCAGCAGAACTCCTTCTGTAGGTGCAAGCAGCCTTTGAATGTGAAGGGATCAGTGTGAAATTGGCCTTCCAGAAGATGAGAGTGCAGCTTTTGTTGATACGTTTAGATAATGATAAAGAATGCTGAGAGGCACAGCCTGATGTTTGAAGGGTGAAATTTGTCCACCTCAGCATGGAAGCAGTTGTTGTGACTACTCATGGTAGATCAACTTATCTTTCTCACTGAATGATAGTGGGCATTGTCATATCTTATAGTGTTAAGTTAGTTGTGCTTTATATAACGTACCATTTTTCATTGCATAATAGTCACACTTAAAGCCTTTTTATATATAAAAAGGGGGTGTGTGTGTGACTATTACAGGATGAAAAGAACCCTGCCTTTTATTTTCTGGTTTCTGGTTTGTTTGTGTGTTTTTAAAAAACAACAACAGCCAAAAACCCACTTTATCTCCAAGGGACAGGGATGATCCAGCCTCAAACAAAAAGTTCCGTTTCTGCTTGTTTGCTTTTTTAAAAAACTGCCTTGATTTGGAGGAAGGAGAGAAGATTCGCTCTTCCTTTTTTTCTTTCTCCGAAGGCAACACAGTTTACAAAATCTGAAATGGAGCTCTTTGGAAGAAGGAGGGAAGATCCAAGTTCCAGAAACCTCCATTTCAGGTTTTTAAACTGTCTTGCTTGAAGGAAGAAGGGAAGAGTGGAACTATAGAGGCCTCTGTTTCATAGTTTTTAAACCACCGTGCCTTCGGGGAAGGAAGTGGGAGGCAGCCCCAAACAGCTCTGCGACTAGAATCATAGAGTTGGAAGAGACTGGCCATCCAGTCCAATCCCCTACCACGAAGCAGAAAAATCGCATTCAAAGCACCTCTGACAGATGGCCATCCAGCCTCTGCTTAAAACCCTCCAAAAAAGGAGGCTCCACACTCCGGGGCAGAGAGTTCCACGGCTGAACAGCTCTCACAGTGAGGAAGTTCTTCCTAATGTTCAAGTGGAATCTCCTTACTTGTAGTTTGAAACCATTGTTCCGCATCCTAATCTCCAGGGCAGCAGAAAACAAGCTTTCTCCCTCCTCCTGTGACTGCCCCTCACATGGCCATCATGACTGTTATGCGATGAAGTATGGGTAACTGTGCTAGCTTTCCTAAATCTTGTTGTCATGTGTCTTCAAGTCACTTCCAACTTGAGATGATCCAGAGGAGAACCTATCACAAGGTTTTCTCAGCAAAATGTGTTCAGAGTGGGTTTGCCTCTTTTCACTGCTTAGACCTTGTTGTTGAAGTATTTCACAGTGGCAATGTACCATGAAGTCCACCTATTGGAAACGCTTCTCTTGTCATGGAGACTGTACTCTGAACAAAATTTTAGATTGTGCATGAGATCATACCTTCATGCAGGCCTGCATCATTCTACAAGATTCTTGCCCTTTGTCTGTTCTATGGAATATGCCTGCCCCCTGAATCATTAAGCCAATGTAGTATCAACACTTCTTTTTCTCCCCCTTTCTCCAGGTGGAGGACCTTGGAAAGATCTATGGCATCTCCCCTAAGCAAGTAGCATCCTTTGTGCAGGTATGTATTTAGTTCTGTTTACATTAGAACAGTAATGAGCAACCTTCAGCCTTCCACACCTTTTGTAAGTATCGTCACTTATATCTGGGTATTCTACAACCCCGGAAAGCTAACAAGTTCCTCATGTGTTTATTAAAGGGATTTTTTTTAAAAAAAAGATTTATTACAGAGATCTATTTTCCATTAGACTTTTTCTTGAAGATCTGTCTTATAGATATTGGAAGGATAGCTGCATTTCCCTGTTTATTTATTTATCGTGTCAGGGGCAAACCATTGCATTTTTTAACAAACAAACAAACAAACAGACAAACAAAACACAACGTTTGCAAGCTTGGTAGTTGATTAAATGTCCTTTGACCAGAAGCTGGCCACTTGGAGTGCCTCTGGTGTCATTGTAAGAAGGTCCTCCATTGTGTACGTGGCAGGGCTCAGTCTGCATTATAGTAAGTGTTCTGTGGTTTGCTTTTTTTCCCACTTGCACGTTGTGGGCTCCACTTTATGGCCCCATTTCTTAAGGTTGGCTCTGCATCTCGTGGTGCCAGAGCGCAGTCTGTTCAGCGCCTTCCAAGTCGCCCAGTCTTCTGTGTGCCCAGGGGGAGTCTCTCATTTGGTATCAGCCATTGGTTGAGGTTCTGGGTTTCAGCCTGCCACTTTTGGACTCTCGCTTGCTGAGGTGTTCCAGCGAGTGTCTCTGTAGATCTTAGAAAACTATTTCTAGATTTAAGTCGTTGACGTGCTGGCTGATATCCAAACAGGGGATGAGCTGGAGATGTCACTGCCTTCGTCCTTTCACACATTTCTCTGAAGCACAACCAACCCAAAAAGTTGTTGTACCTTAAAAACGCACAACTTTATGGTGATACAAGCTTTCATAGAACACCAACTGCTTCATTAGATTCATGAACTGTTGTGCTAAATAGGCGCAGAGAAAAAAATAACCCTAAACATTGTAGACAAATGGTCATGACACACGAGCAGAATAAGACTTTTATAAACAAAGTCAGGAAATTTATTAATTTCAGAAAAAGTAAGTGTACCTCTTCTGACATTCAAACCTGAGACTATGGTTAATTGACTACGGCCATGGATTTGAAATCGGTTTACAAACCTGATTTCTTTCAGATCACTTACCATATATACTCGAGTATAAGCCAACACAAATATAAGCCGAGGCACCTAATTTTACCACAAAAATCTGGGGAAATGTAGTGGCTTGTATATAACCCAAGTGTGAGAAATGCAGCAGCTACTGGTAAATTTCAAAATAAAAATAGATACCAATAAAATTACATTAATTGAGGCATTCGCAGGTTAAATGTTTCTAAATATTTACATAAAACTAGTTTAAGATAAGACTGTCCAACTCTGATTAAACCATTATTCTAACCTTCTACAATGTAAATGTGCTTATGTATCCTTCCAATAATAAAGAGTAAATAAATATAATAATAACAGTAATAATAGAGTAAAATAATACATGTAATAATAATAGAATAAAATAAGGGAAATGTCATAATAATAATCAATAGAGATAAATAATACCTCAAACAAACTAGAGTTTTTTCTCCCACCCTGAACATTTCACAGATATATAAATCCCAATTGCATAGTTTCCAAACTCTGAGGATGCCTGCCATAGATGCAGCCAAAAAATCAGGAGAAAATGCTTATGGAACATGGCCATTACAGCCTGGAAAACTACAGCAACCCCTAGTAGCTTAGATTTTTGATATGATTTACAATACAGGATGTGAGGAAAGGGAGAAAACTAAAATGCTGCCTTTTTTGGAGTTGGTGCACATTACTATAGGTATGAGCCACATTTCTACTTCCTGTAGGCAGGTCAATTTGGAGCAGGGTCTTCTTGTCTCCATTATGCTCAATGAGAAATACAGTTAGCGGAAGTTGTTTTACAAGAGGAAACGCAGAAGGGCAGTATTAGATTTCTAGCCAGCAGATCTTGTGATCAGACATAACTAAGAGCTATGGATGGTTTTATTACCCTGACAGTTGCATTTATGTGTTTACACAACTGTGTGTGTGTGTTGTCTGGTATGAATAGTTGCAGGATTTAACATTCTGTCCTCTTTTCTGTATTTCCTGCAGGCAAATATCTTGGAACATTGTGGAAAAATTTTGTAACCAGATCTGATGTGCAGAACTACAGCCCTATATCCTTGTTTTAATTCATTGTGACTGGTTTTCCATTTTGTTTAGCTTCAGTTTAATATGCTGATATATGTGTGTGTGTGTATGTGTGTGTGAGAGAGATCTCATTCTGGCAATTTGTCTTGTAATTAAGGCAAGGCTCATAATGTAACAAAGAAAAAATAGTTTTTTATACAGGAAAGTGAGGCAAAAGGATGCATCTGTAGCAAAAATGCATAGTTAAAAATTGCCTGCTGGAAAATATTTTGTAATCTGGTGAGATTGTTTTATTGTTTTAATAACTGTTTTGATATTTGGTGATGTACTGTTTTTAATATGATTTATGTTTAAAGTGTGGTTTTACTATTATAGTTGTAAGGCATTGAATTGTTGCCATTATCTATGTGTAAACTGCTTTGAGTCCCCATAGGGGTGAGAAAAGCGGTATATAAATACTGTAAATAAATAAATAAATAAATAAATAAAATTTGTAGAAAATGTTTCTATTTCTGGTTTTTGTGGTTTTATTGTGCTTTTTAATTTTAATAAAATACACACAGGAAGAAATTAGTCAAAAATTCAAAAGCATTATGTGGTTTCAATAATGCAAATTAAGGAATATTTTAATTTGGAAAAGAAAATAGGTTTTGGAGAGAGAAAGACTTTCTGGGATAATATATTGAATACTGAAAGGAAAACAATTACTAAGATATATAATAAGTTATTTGGATGGGCAACGGAAACAGAGGAGATAAAAAACTCCATGATTAAATGAGCAACGAATGTCAGCAGAACAATTAGTTTAGAGGAATGAGAACTAGTTTGGACAAAACATTGAAGATGTTTTAAAATGTTACATCGATGGTATATAACACCAAAAATATTAGGGATAATGTATAAAAATATGGATAACAGATGTTGGAAATGTAAATTACAAGAGGGATCGTACTATCATATGTGGTGGTCATGTGAAAAAACATCAGAATATTGGAAAATGGTACACAATGAATGTAGAAAGATATTGAAAATTTAATTTAGGAATATTTGGATTTATTTAAAGATTTAAATGCTGATAAATTGTTCACTTTTTTGCGACTGCGCCAAGAATGACCTTTGCTAAGTTCTGGAAAATAGAGTTGATTCCCTCAAAGACTCAATGGTTGGATAAAATAATTGAAATTAAGGACATGGATAAATTGACATTTTTATTAAAATCAAACAACGGAAAGGGAGTAAAAATGACGGACTGGACAGTTTTTGAAGATTATATTAACAAGGGTGGTAAATAAAATTTTTGACAAAGATTGAGGAACTATATTTTTATTCGTTTTGGGGACAATAGAAACTTTTTCTTCATTATGGGGTGAAAGGAAGAAAAATTGAAGTCAACTTTTATTCTTTTTCTTTGTCTTGTTTTGTTCTGTTTTCTTTTTAGTATGTGTTTTGAATCATATTTTGTTTTTATGGGTTTTTTGTAAAATGAATAAAAATTACTTATACTGATGGGGGGGGAAAGAGGGACCCCGTTTTCTTTCTTTGCTTCCATAACTGACCCACCCCTCTTTTCTCTCACTTGTAGTTTTTTCATCTTTCCTACCTTCTCTCCCTTCCCTCTGCCTCTATTCCTTTGCCCTTTTGTGATAGCCTTATTTCTGTTTTCTAGAAGGCGGCCCTTTTCAGCCCCAAGCTCCCTCCTTTCTTCCCTTATAGGAATGTGGGTTTGTCCTGTTTTCAACATTTTGATCTGCATTTTATCAGAAAAGAAAGCTTGTTGTTGTTCATTCGTTCAGTCGTCTCCGACTCTTCGTGACCTCATGGCACAGAGCAATTCCCTGTTAAAAACAAATGCAAACTGCGCTGTCTAGAATCATAGAATCAAAGAGTTGGAAGAGACCTCATGGGCCATCCAGTCCAACCCCCTGCCAAGAAGCAGGAATGTTGCATTCAAATCACCCCTGACAGATGGCCATCCAGCCTCTGTTTAAAAGCTTCCAAAGAAGGAGCCTCCACCACACTCCGGGGCAGAGAGTTCCACTGCTGAACAGCTCTCACAGTCAGGAAGTTCTTCCTAATGTTCAGAAAGATTCTCCTTTCTTGTAGCTTGAAGCCATTGTTCCGTCCTAGTCTCCAAGGAAGCAGAAAACAAGCTTGCTCCCTCCTCCCTGTGGCTTCCTCTCACATATTTATACATGGCTATCATATCTCCTCTCAGCCTTCTCTTCTTCAGGCTAAACATGCCCAGTTCCCTAAGCCGCTCCTCATAGGGCTTGTTCTCCAGACCCTTGATCATATTAGTCGCCCTCCTCTGGACACATTCCAGCTTGTCAATATCTCTCTTGAATTGTGGTGCCCAGAATTGGACACAATATTCCAGATGTGGTCTAACCAAAGCAGAATAGAGGGGTAGCATTACTTCCCTAGATCTAGACACTATGCTCCTATTGATGCAGGCCAAAATCCCATTTGCTTTTTTTGCCGCCACATCACATTGTTGGCTCATGTTTAACTTGTTGTCCACGAGGACTCCAAGATCTTTTTCACACGTACTGATCTCGAGCCAGGCGTCCCCCATTCTGTATCTTTGCATTTCATTTTTTCTACCAAAGTGGAGTATCTTGCATTTGTCGCTGTTGAACTTCATTTTGTTAGTTTTGGCCCATCTCTCTAATCTGTCAAGATCGTTTTGAATTCTGCTCCTGTCCTCTGGACTATTGGCTATCCCTCCCAATTTGGTGTCGTCTGCAAACTTGATGATCATGCCTTCTAGCCCTTCATCTAAGTCATTAATAAAGATGTTGAACAGGACCGGGCCCAGGACGGAACCCTGAGGCACTCCACTTGTCACTTCTTTCCAAGATGAAGAGGAAGCATTTGTGAGCACTCTCTGTGTTCGTCCACTTAACCAATTACAGATCCACCTCACCGTAGTTTTGCCTAGCCCACATTGGACTAGTTTGCCAGAAGGTCTCCTGTCGGCCGTCACCACCCCCAGCTCCTTCAAGGTCAGTCCAGTCACTTCAAGGATGCCATCCATCCATCTTGCCCTTTGTCGGCCCCTCTTCCTTTTACCTTCCACTTTCCACAGCATCATTGTCTTCTCTAAGCTTTCCTGTCTCCTCATGATGTGGCCAAAGTATTTCATCTTTGCTTCTACTATCCTTCCCTCCAATGAGCTGTCGGGCTTTATTTCCTGAAGTATGGACTGGTTGGATCTTCTCGCAGTCCAAGGCACTCTCAGAACTCTCCTCCAACACCACCGTTCAAAAGCGTCTATCTTCCTTCGCTCAGCCTTCCGTAGGTGAACCAACCTACCATCAAAAGCATCGATCTTCCTTCGCTCAGCCTTCCCTAAGGTCCAGCTCTCACAGAAAAGAAAGCTACTTTTGTGAAAACAATTTATCATACAGTTTGGAGCTACACTGCCCTATAACCCAGGATCTGATCCCAGATTATCTGTTTATCCCAGATTATCTGTTAGTGTGGACTCAGGTGTTCCAGTTCAAAGCAGATATTGTGGGTTATTCTGCCTTGCTATTCTGTGTTGTTTGGCTATGTGGAAGGGTCCTCAGGCCTCTTCTACACTGCCATGTAAAATCCGGATTATCTGCTTTAAACTGGATTATATGGCAGTGTAGACTCAGGCCTCTTCTACACTGCCATATAATCAAGATGATCAAAGCAGATCATCCACATTATTTGCTTTGAAGTGCAGAATATGAATCCACTCTGCCATATAATCCTGTTCAAATCAGTCTGAATTTTATACGGTAGTGTAGAAGGGGCCTCATATAATTCAGTTGAAAGCAGATATTGTGGATTATATGAGGCTCTTTGTATTTGATTTTACTATGCTATTTTATACTGTTTGTTGTTATTATCATTTGTTATTTTATATATTTTGTTATGATGTATTTTGCTGTTCTGTGTCTAATTACGTTGTATTATTTTGGGCTTGGCCTCATGTTACCCGGGCTGAGTCCCCTTTGGGGAGATGATGGTGGGGTAATAAATAAAGTTGTTTATTATTATTATTATTATTATTATTATTATTATTATTATTATTATTATCTGCTTTGATAATCTGTATTATAAGGGGCCTCGTATTATCCAGTTCAAAGCAGATAATCTGGGATGAGATCCTGGGGTATAAGGCAATGTAGATCCAGCCAGTCAGCCCTACAGTATAAAGTGTTGGTTTTGACCTTTAATGCCTTACATTAAATGCCTTACCTACAGGATTTCCTTTTCCCATAGAACCTGCCCTTTAGGACACTGGTCTTTTGATGGACGCTGACTCCAATTTAAGACCCAACTGAAGACCTTTCCGTTCCAACAGGTCTACCCAGTCAACTCTGGATCATGAATTTTGAATTTACATTCTATTACCACTATGGGTTGGGTTTGTATTCTGTGTTTGGAGTGTGTGTTATCGAGCAATTTAAAACGGCAGTGGATAGTGAGATCCAAGCTGCTGTGGGTTAAGCCTGGTGAGATAAAGAAGCCAATATTCCAGAACAAATCTCACCAAGTTGAAGCAGAAGCCACCGAGGTATTTATTTAATTTCAGCTGAAAGTGATGCCAGCCTGCAGTAATCCACCCTTCAAAAAAGCTGAAATACATTATACAGCAAAACAGGCATTTTTATACAAGTCAGATTCAAAGTTCCCACCGTCCCCAGCTTGGCCATGATTGGCCAAGCCTGGATAACGTCAATGAGCTTGTGGAGGCGGGAGTCCGGCACACTCTAGCCAATGGGAGGGCTAGATCTCTGATGTAGATTTCTCTCTGTCCAATGATTGGAGAGGGGTTGTCAGAACAATGGGTGAGAGAATGACTTGAGATGAGATTAACTATCCCTGGTGTGTGAACACAATGACCCTAATGGGACTTCCGAAACCTTTATTATCCCTTATGTATTTACTCCTGATCGACTCCAGCATCCTGAACACTGGACTCCCATTGAAGTTCCAGCAGAAAGTATTGTCCATATAAATGTTCGATGGCTAGGAATGAAAAAGGGGGAAATAGCCTTTCATGGAATTGGAAGAGACCTCTTGGGCCAGCCAGTCCAACCCCCTGCCAAGAAACAGGAAAATCGCATTCAAAGCACCCCTGGCAGATGGCCATCTAGCCTCTGTTTAAAAGCCTTCAAAGAAGAAACCTCCARGACACTCCGGGGCAGAGAGTTCCACTGCTGAACAGCTCTCACAGTTAGGAAGTTCTTCCTAATGTTCAGATGGAATCCCCTTTCTTGTAGTTTGAAATAATAATAATAATAATAAACTTTATTTATAACCCGCTACTATCTCCCCAAAGGGGACTCAGTGCYACTAACATGAGGCCAAGCCCAAAATAATACAACATAATAAACACACAGTAACATTGTTCCACATCCTAGTCTCCAGGACAGTGGCATGGTTTCTCGTGACTGAACTCCATACCAGAATTACAAATGTCACATATTGCCCAAGCAGCAACA